CCATGTGGTGGTCTGAATGAAACAGCCTCCACAGGCTCACAGGGAGGTGAGGTGTGGCCTTGTTGGAGGAAGTGTGTCACTAGGGGCTGGGCTTTGAGGTTTCAGAAACTCAAGTCAGGGCTAGTGGCTCAGGGTCTCTTCCTGCTGATCCAGATGTAGAACTCAAAGCTCCCTCTTCAACACCATGTCTGTCTGCACACCACCATGCTTCCTGCCATGACAATAACGGGCTAAACCTCTGAACTCTACACCAGTCCCCATTAAATGTTTTCTTTTTAAGAGTTGCTGTGGCCATGGTGTCTCTTCACAGCAAGAGAACACTAAGACAGACTCTGTCACAATAAAATAAAATAAAAATAAATTTAAAGAAAGAAAAAAAGATACTTGTTAAAATTCAGCGTTTCTCAAGGTGGGAAGAAATCACCTTGCAAGACTCCTGCTCAAATGCCCTCTCTGGCCAACCCAATTCTCCTGATTACCGGACCCTCCTCCATTTCCCCTGCCCTTATGATTAGAAAGGTAATGAATTAAAAATTTGAGGCTATCACTGGGGAGCCTACATATTTATTAGCTTTTTTTCTAAGACAAGGTCTCATATAGTCCATGCTGGCCCCGACTTGGAACTCCCGATTTCCCTGCCTCCACCTCTCAAGAGCTGGGATTCCAAGCTCGCAGAGGCTAGCGGTCACCTTCCTTTGTGTGCATTTGGGGGTCTGGCAGCAGGCTCCTTTACCCACTGAGCCATTGCAATGGATCCGGAAGCTCCATCTTTGCTGCACACACACTTCCTGCAGACAGACAGGCATCCCGACACATCCGTGTACCAAGCTTGAAGACGTTCCCTCTGGCTTTGTCTCTGTGATTTCCTTGTTTCCCAGTTACTATCATAGGCTGACCTTCCTGCTAGCGCTAGGGGTTCACAGTCCAGTACCTGAAAAGCTAAGGGTTTGAGACCGGAGGGAAGCCACTGGGGACTGAGTATGTGAAACCGCTCTTTCTGATGGGAGGACTGGCAGGTGGTCGGAGGCCATGTCAGCCCCATCAGGGTTGAGGTACTAGAGTGTGGGTGGGGACATGAGGCATAGGTTAGGGACCAGGTGATCCTGCTCCCCAAGCTAGTATGTGCATGGCGGTGCAGCTTCCCTCCATGGGAAGAGGAGAACATGCCGAAGCTGAGAATCCTTTTCTTTACAGTAGGGTTTACATGTCACACACTCCTGGGACACCATTAAGTGATCACTGAACACACGTGTGTGGGGCTCTTAGTGGGGATGAGACCCCAGACTCAGAATGTACCAGTTTACTTGACACTCAAAGCAAGACAGGCTCTCTTGGGGCCTGGTGTGGACAGAGGACAGTAGGGTCACCCTACTCTCTGGGGCTTGAGCAAGGAAGACAATACAGGAAGCAAGCAGGCACTGTCAGCAATGCTGATTGTACAGGACTGTGGACAACCTGGCAAGGAAGAGCCAGAGGACACCAACATGGGTGAGGGGAAGGCGCGTCCTTGTTTGCTTCTCTGATGCTGTGCTAAAGCCCTGACTTAAAGCAACCTGGGGAAGAATGGGTTTATTTGGCTCACAGCTCACACACAGTCCATCAAGGGAAACTGAGGCAGGAATTGAAGCAGAGACCAAGGAGGGATGCTGCTTACTGCTCATTCAGCTTCTCTTCTTATACAGCCCCCCTTGCCCAGGGATGGCATCACCCAGAGTTGCCCACAGTGGACTAGGCCCTTCCACGTCAATTCTCAGTCAAGAAAATGCCCCACAGATGCGTCCCCAGGCCAATCTGAGGGAGGCAGTTCCCCAATTCAGCTCCTCTTCCAAGTTGACACATTCTATTCCAGAGTGAAATCCAGGACGCTGGCTCCTAGGATCACTACACAGCATCCTAATACGACACCTGGGGAGAGCTCTTAAACCGCAGTCTCGCCCAGAGAACACTGGCCACTAGACAGACCGACTACACGAGCTGAAAGAAGGAACGGGGCCGAGTCCTTCAGCCTCATCTGGGAACGTGGTGACAGGCCACTAGAACTTTCTGACACTGGATGGAAATGACTGTAAAAGCACTGCGAGGATGGATTTGTGTTACAGATTTTAATGAATAGGCAATTCACAAAAGGGACTCATGAATAAAGAGCGTCGGCCCCACTCAAATCTTTTTATGTATGTATGAGTATCGCATGCACATCAAGTGCTCATCGAGGTCAGAAGGCGCTGCCAGATCCTCAGGAACTGGAGTTAATGCATGGTTGCAAGCTACTGTTTGGGTGCAGGGGGCCAAAGGCAGGTCCTCTGCAAGAGCAATTAGTGCTATTAATATTAACTGCTAAGCCCTCTCTCCAGCCCCTTACTCAATTCTGTTCTATGAGGGCTGAGGAGATGGCTCAATGAGTAAGAGTGCTTGCTGTGCAAGCATGAGGACCTGAGTTCAAATCCCCACACCCACTAAAAAGCTGTAACCCTAGCGCTGTGGAGGTCAGAGAAGAGGACTGCTGGGGCCTGTCAGCCACCGGCCTCATTCCAGGCTTAGAGACCCCCGTCTCAGGGGAACAAGGGTAACATGACAGGGATGCTCTTTGGTCTCTGGAGTGCGCACAGGTTCATGAACCACATGCCATCACTCATACAAAGGAGGGCTGTACATCCTCGGCCCTGGCAGTACCAGGCACCCTCCCCTTCTAAAGTGGTGCTGCAGATGACACTCCCCAGGGCTGCACATCAACAACAGTCCCAGTCACGCCGGCTGGCTCAACCCCAGCTCCACCATTTGTAACAAGAGAAACTGTATTTGGGAAGTTCCATGAGAAATCTAATGGAAGAAGGGTAAAGAACATTCTATTCTAAATGACTAGGCTGTCACACAGAGTGCTCAGCACATCTGTCATCAGAGTGTAGGTAAATCAGGATCTTAAGAGACAAGGTTTGCTCCTCCAGAGACCAGGACAAGAGGGCTTAGCTTCCCACAGCAGAAGAGATAGGTGTTTGGGGTGAGATGGCCACACTCACCAGGCTTTCTGAGACAGTTATGTTATATACGGCCTGGGGTTCACTGCCAGGCTTCTCTCCATCCATGAGCCCTCAACAAGCACATGACAGTACAATCCTCCTCTCTGTGGCTTTGGGGGCAGCTGACAGTATCAGCCACCCGCCTCAGTGACGCCATCTCCCCAAACAACAGTCCTAAGATAGACAGAGAGTCAGCTAACCTAGAGAACTGATAACCCCTTAGCCAGAAAGGTCTCCGCAGACGCTTCCTCCTCAGCAGACAGCCTGCAGTCCTTTTGTTTAGTCATCCCAAGCTGCCGGACACAGGTGCTAAGTGCAGCTCGAGGCCAGGCAAACCGGCAGAGGCAGGAAGGGACTTGTCCCCGGCTCTGAGGCAGCAGATGGAAAGACTTTTAGGCCCAGCCCTACTCCTCACTCAGCAGCCCTCATCCAGCAGAGCAAAGCCCATGAGGTCTAGGCTGCAGGTTCAAAGCAAGAGCCTGACACAGATGGGCAAAGGGAGAATTAAAAGCAAATCACAAACCCACAAAGCTAGTCCTGACACACCTGAACATCGCCTGTGACTCAACGTGCTGGAGGGACAGGGGCCAGACGTCACATGGCTCAGAGTGGGCACAGGGCATCTGTGCCACAGCAGTAAAAGAAGGGAAGAGGGGTCATTTCCTTCAGTGGCACAGCCACTGGGAAGGTTCCCATGTTTTGGTAAATAACCGACCACCCAAGCTCATTCAGGCGACCTTAAAGCGTGCCATGCCAAAAACAAGACACGAAAGCAGGAGGGGAGTCACATCTGCTGGGGAAAGGACCCCGTGGGGGTAGGCTAAGAGAACGGAGTAAACACGATCAAAGTACATCACAAACATGTAGGAGCTATCAAAGAACAGCAACAAAAGTCAAAAGTAGAAGACATTCTTCGTTTCCCTTTCACTCAACATGCTACTAACATCCACAGAAGGCACACGGCACACTGGGGAACTGGAGACACTCCAGACACAGAGCCACGCTCTACTAGAAACTGCCCATCACCCCACTGGCCTGATAATGGCTGAGGACCAAGGTGGTCCTGGGTTACCTCCCCCCTCCCTGACATGGTGTTGGTTGCATTCTGGACCCGTACACACAGCAGGTCTGGGACCACAGCCACTCAAGGACACTCAGCGGGAAGACTGACAGGAGGGTTTTCCATCCCGAAGAGCTCCCTCTCCAGTCCCTCTGGGTTTAGATCTCCTGACCTGGGGTGGGAGGAAGGCTTTGGCCAGTACCTGTCCTGTCTCCCATGTCTCTGGTCACCCCCTGCTTTCTTTAATCACCTGTCGTCTTCCTGGAGCCTCTCTCCTGCCCAGCCTCCTGAGAGCCCTGGTTAGCTCATACATGTTCTGAGAGCTGCTGGGCGGGCACAGTTCTTCAGTGCTGAAGTCTGCTATTCCATTAGGGACAGGGCTGAGCACTCAAAGGGTAGGTGTGGAAGGGAGCCTGCAAAAGAGAACCCACCAAATCCCAAGGTCCAGTCTCTGCATTACTTCAGTTTCTCTGAGGCTCTGGTAATTAACATCCCAAACACGTGGACAAAACCTACAGGTGCTCTGCTCTTTACTAAATAAATATTCCCTTCACAGAAACCAGCCCAGAGCTCATCACTGTTCAAGCAGAAAGAAACAGGCACCAGGGGGAAGGTGAGGCACTCCCCTTCAGCAAGAGCAGGGCGGGACGCAGCAGGCAATCTTCACACGTCTAGGGGATGGTTCCTTTGCTCCCTAGGCAAGCAGCGGTGCAGGAGGCTCCTGTCTTCTCCCAACACAGCCAGTCTGGCAGATGGGCCACAACCTCTCTCCTTTCTGAGGCTGGTCAGAGAATGAGCTGGGCTCACGTCCTCATCGCCCCATGATGACGCTGGGTTCCTCTTCCTCCTCCTCCTCCTCCTCTGTCCCAGATGCCTCCTCAGAGCTGCTGGCACGCTGTTCTTGGCACTGATTGGGTTCTGTACCAACACAACATTGAAACCATAAGCAGACAGATCTGATGGATGCGGGGTTAAGTAAGGGAATGTCTCGGCACAGAAGTTGCACTTCTAACCCCAGCTCTTCAAACGTGGAGGCAGATAAAAGTTCAAGGACATCCTCAGCTACATAGTGAGTTTGAGGTTAGCCTGGGTAGCAAACCCTGTCTCAAAAAGAGGAGAGCAGCTGAGGGTATACTTGTTCCCAGGCAGAAACAGCTGGGAGTCAGAGGTGGCCACTGTGTGGAAGGTCTACCACAAAAGCAATCTGCATTGCTCTGAGAGCGGCACCTCAGCCTCACCAAAAAGATCTGGCTGTACACACTAGAACCTGACACCCCAAGTCAGGCCTGCTGAGTATATGGCCCCCACTGTCTACATCACCACCAAAATAGGGTACCCTGAGAGATACCCAGGTGTTTCACATCTCCTACTGGGCTACCAAACTCCCCTGCCTGAGCCTCGGTTCTCAATGAAGACCGCAAGAGGATCTTAAAAACCAATACAAACAAAAGCCCATTGAAACTAGGGCCTGTGCCCACAACAGCCATGCCAGCCTCCTGGCTCTCCTCAAACACTGCCCAGGGACCCCTCTCCTGTTGCCCTATGGCAGATTCTAATACTGCTTTAGCACTGTGGCACAGCTAAGCACAGAGACATCTTGTCCCCAGCCCCCCTCCTGTCCTGAGAGCAGGGGAGTGGGCGGGAGCTGGCTGCAAAGAGGCGGGGGAGGTCTCAGCACAGGGCCCAGCTGACTCACCAGGGACTTTTCAGGCAGTGAAACTATTTTGTATATTTTCTGGCAGACTCACAATACTATGCACTGGAGAGAATATATGCACTGGGGCTGGAGAGAGGGTATTGTCCAAAGCCCTGGATGCTGTTGCAGAGAACGGAGGTTGGGTTTCCAGCATTCACATGGTGGCTCATAATCATCAGTAACTCTAGTTCCAGGGGACCTGACACACTCTTTAGACCTCTGCAGGCACCAGGCACACATGTGATACACATATATAAACACAGGCAAAACACACATAAAATTAAAAACTCTAAAAAAAGAAAAAAATTAACTCCAAATCCAGTATATCTGATGGTTTCCCCTGGCCTTTATGGGAGCTATACATACTTGCATATACATAATGCAGATATATATAAATTAAAACATACATCTTTAAAGTCACTTAGGTCAGGGGTTAAGATGGAATGCAGAGTCCAACTGACTTATAAATGCATCTCTAGAGGGTGGGTGGTGCTGAGCAGCACCGCTGGAAACACGTGGAGTCTACAGCTACAGGCACAGGCCCTGTGCTCTGGTGTAAGTAGCTATGACCCACAGGGAAGCAGTAACTCTCCACGTGCGGAAGTGGACAGGGTGACGAATAAGGGATAGTAGGTGGGCAAAGCTGGAATGACCGCTGACGATGGAGAAAAGCTGGGCATGTCAGGACTCATGCTGAACTTACTGGGGACAGATGGTCGTGTTCAGGCATTGCTCAGGACCCCCCCCCCCATGCTGCACAGCGATCTCTACCAACTGACAGACTACATGGTGTGATGGAGGCCCACCAGACAGCATCACTTAGTGTCACAGGCACCAACGGGCATACAGTCTAGGACACTTGCAGAGCAGAACTGCCCTCCACTGCTTTGTCTACCAGGCAAAGATGAACGACTCCTTCCACCCCACCCCCATGATCTTGCTTTCTAACACTAAGCCAACAAAAGGAAGCAGATGTCTTGGAGCAACACCCGAGGGTTGAGAGCAGGACACCCTCCAGATGAGCCTGGAGTACTTCACAGCACCAGAAAGCAAGGGGGTGCTGAGAACTTGTGATAGGACCGCATCAGCAGGACAACAGTCGGTCCCAGCAACAAGGTACAGAAAGACTGGATCACACAGGTTTGTCCTCACAGACAAACACTTCTTTCTGTAGACAGAGACCATCTCCTAAGTGGATGTCTGTAGATCTCTGCCTTCAGACTGGAGGGGGCTGACTGCACCTCAATCCTTAGATATGGGCTGCACGTGGCAATTTCCTTCCAAAAAGTAAATTATTCGGGGGAAGAGCAGCAAATTTATAGTGGGAAAAGCTGATAAACACTACCTCTGTGGTGTGGCCAACAGCAACATTAACAGCTGTAAGCTGGAATGTGGCAGGGCTTGCCTAGCATAAGAGGCCACGCTTCCATCCCCAGCACCACAAAAACAAACAAGACTCCAACAACCACTGCCACAACTCTGAATAGCAGCAGAGAGCCAGGTCAGTTGTCCGCACTGTAGCAGCAGAGAGCCAGGTCAGTTGTCTGCACTGTAGCAGCAGAGAGCCAGGTCAGTTGTCTGCACTGTAGCAGCAGAGAGCCAGGTCAGTTGTCTGCACTGTCCAGCCTGGACACCGTCCAGCAGCTCCAGTCCAATCACATAAAGAACACCAGTCAAATCTCAACTGTGAGATCTCATACAGGTGCCAAGCCAAGTAAAGTCTGAGAAACTCTCAGTCAATGGAGGCCAAGGCCACATGATGACTGAACACGCTGTGGGGCTCTGTGCTGAACTCTCAACAGGAAGAAGGGAGGGAATAGAAGGCGAGGACCCCGAGAGAGGAGGAAAGCTAGCTACCAACAGTAGGCAGACCAGGGTGTTAAACAGGGTACACGAGGCCCCTAACTTTCAGTGAATCTAGGCTGTAGGTGCAGCTCAGAGGACAGTGCTGGATTGGTATGCACAAGTCCCTGGGTTCAAGCCTATTAACACATAAAACAAAGCATATTTAGAGAAAGCTGAAAAGCTGGGTGGCAGTAGTGGTGCATGCCTTTAATCTCAGCATTCGGGAAGCAGAAGTCTACAGAGTGAGTTCCAGGACAGCCAGGGCTACAAAGACAAACCCTGTCACACACACACAAAAAAAAAAAAAAAAAAAAAAAAAAAAAAAAAAAAAAAAAAAAAAAAAAAAAAAAAAAAAAAAAAAAAGAGAAAAGAAAGAAGGCTGGAGGGACCAGAGAGATGATCCAGCAGCTAAGAGCATTTACTACTCTTCCAAACGGTCTGAATTCAGTGCTCAGCACCTGATGTGGAATATTCCTCTACACTGTGTGAAGATGTGTCACTGTGATTGGTTTAATACCGAGCTGAATGGCCAATAGCTAGGCAGGAGAGAATAAACTGGATTTCTGGTGTTGGGGGGGGGGATCTGGGAAGAAGAGAGGTGGGATGCCAGGAGACTGAAGAAGTTGGACATATATACAGCACAGAGATAATTAAGCCACGTGGCAGAATGTAGATTAATAGAGACAGCTTAATTTAAGTTATAAGAGCTAGTTGGGAAAAAAAGCCCAAGCTAAGGTCAAGCTTTCATAGTTACTATTAAGTCTCTATATATACTGGGGAGCTGGTAGTTCTACAAAACAAAGTTCTGGCTGTCCTGGAACTCACTCTGTAGACCAGGCTGGCCTCAAACTCAAGGTCTACCTACCTCTGCCTCCGAGTGCTGGGATTAAAGGTGTGCACCACCACTGTCCAGCTCTATTCGGAGATTTTATTCCGCTTATAGACATACCACTGGGTGAAACTGAAGACGACAGGGTTTTGGGTTTCTTTCCCCCAGATGGATTAGACAGGATAAGGAGGGGGGGGGGGGAACAAAAACAAAAACCTCCACCCCCAACCCTAGCACTATGGAACTGCAAGGCCATGGGAAACTGCCTATGACACGAAGTTCTGTGGTAACATTAGAACAGCCTGGCGTTAACATGAACAGGGCACATGTATGAAAAACTGAAAGCGGAAAATAAAAACACTAACGTAAGCTATTGTTTTTAGTAAGGATTATAGTCACTATCGTTTTTCACTTTGTCCTATTCAATGTACCCTAACTTCCCAAGCAGGAAATACAACGGCTTCATGATCAAAGGGCACAAAGAACCAGGCAGCTTTCCAGTCCATTACACTAAGTCTGTGGCTCTGTAGGTTGGTCCAAAGCACACACTAGGTGCCATCTGGACGCAGTGCCTCTAGTGAATGTCTCTACCTCAAAGGGAATGCTGTGCCCTGCTGATTAGGGGCCATCTGGCAGTGCCAGGAGATACTTTTAATGCAATGATCAGGAGGAAGCAGCTGCTTCTGATGTACTGGGCAGTGGATGAGCCCTTCAGACAAAGAGAAACTCCCCCTGCCCCCACCACTGAGGCTGGGAAAGAGCTCTAGCTGTGTCCAGTAACAGGGGCCTTAAGGTCACTTCAGATTCTCTTCAAGGGCAGTGTGGTAGGGAAGGGAAACCCTGGTTAGGACACAGCACTGCAGAGCTCAGGGTCTCAGAAGGGTCCAAACTGGCTCACGGCCAACCAGCTGCTCTCACTCAGACACAGGTCCCACACCGCAGGGCGATGGCTGAGCTACTACACAGCACAGGCCGCAACCCTAGCCAGCTGCCCTTCCTGCTGCCAACCCAGCAGGAGCCTCATGGTGTGCTGGGGCCACCTTGTGGCACAGTTGGCACACTACATTAAATTCTATTCATTTCAACCAGGCAACTAGAAAATCTCACTCTTTCACAAAATGAGAAATGGGGAAATAGTCAAAGTGAGGGGAGAGGCATGGAGGCCACTGCTGACGTCCCCAGACCATGTCTATGCTGTTCAACACAAAGTGCACACAAGCAGATATGTTCTGATATGCACGGGCGGGCCACACACCATACCAATGATAACACCTGTTCAGTCCAGCTGAGGAAGCCCTAGAACTTCTGAGCCTCCTGCTTCTACCTCCTGAGGGGTAAAGATCTCGTAGGGTCAGAGATGCCCAAAACCAAGCCAAGTTTTTGTGCAGTGCTGGGATGGAAGCCAGGTAAACACTAACCAACTCAGTGTACCCCGAGTCCAAGCATGGCTTTTTTTACAGACAAGGTCTTCCTATGTAGCTCTAGCTGGCCAGAGACATGCTGGCTCACCACCCCCCATACCCCCATCACCCCCCCTCGTCCCATCCTGTCCCTCAAGTGCTAGGAATAAAGACATGTGATATTACAGCCATTCCGAGCTTTACTTTTAATTTACTTATTTTTCTGAGGCAAGGTCTCACTATGCACCTCTGGCTGGACCAAAATTTACTATGTAGACCAGGCTGCCCTTGAACTCACAGAGGTGGGCTTGCCTTTGTCTCCTGAGTGCTCAGGTTAATGGTGTGTGCCACCATGCCTCACCTAAGTGCTCTCTTTACTGCCCTACGGTCACCACAACCATGTCCACACTACAAAGAACCCATTGACAACTCCCCATAGTCAGCCTCCCAAATCTGTGCAACCATCACTGTGCTCTAAATGTGGTACTCTGAGAACCTCACACAGTGGAGTTTCCCTCCTTTTGTCTGTGTGTATACCAGGGCCTCACTATAGTTCACACTGGCCTTGATGCTGTACGGCGCAAAGATTGACAGACAAGAACCAGCTCCTTCTGACCACCATGGGGAGGGAGCCTGTGAGTACACACACACACACACACACACACACACACACACACACACCAGAATAAATAAAAACAAAGTAGCCATGTGCTATACAGTTCAGGCTACTAGGTTCAAAGTAAGACCCTGACTAGCACACACAGCAACAGCAGTAACAACAACACACCACCACTACAACAACTACAACAGTCAGACTTGTATCACCCTGGCACTTCACAGTTTTACCAAAAGGATAGACATCAGTATGCATGCTTTACCATGACTGTGCAGTTTTAACAGTGAGGTCCTTTATTTTAGCCACTGAACTCAAAAAAAAAAACTAACCAAGATTGGCCACTGGATGGCACTCTTGGGCCATACCTGGAGAACACAGCATAGACTCTAGGAACCACAATGCACGGGAGGGCCAGAACCTGTTTGCTGAACATAGCCAGGTTACTGACCCTCTAGAGATAGAAACAAGACCACAGCCTTGAGAAATGTGATGATCTGGGGCTGAATGGCTGTGGAACCAGGCAGGACAGAAACTTCCATTTACAGAGATGTCACTCGAAAAGCTCGGGATACACAAGAAGATGACTTGGCTTCTCAAGAGGCAGGAAGCTCAACTGGTATAAGAAAATCAACAAAAGACAAGGCCTAACAGACTAGAGACAAAGACCCAAAAAGATTAGGGACCAAGACCCATGCAGACCTGGGATCAAGGCCCAGACTGACCAGGGGCCAAGGCCCAGACAGACCAGGCACAGGAAGTGAGCAGCTATGTGGACTAGTGTTCTCATCATCTTGACACAAGTCAGAGTCATCTGGGAAGAGGGAACTTCATTAAATTGGCCCATAGTCAAGTCTGGGGGGTATTTTCTTGACTAACGATTGATGTGGAAGGGTGGAGCCCACTGTGGGCAGCGTCACCCCTGGGCAGGCAGTCCTGGGTTCTGTAAGAAAGCAGGCTGAGCAAGTACGGAGAGTGAGCCAGGAAGAAAGGCTCCTCCACAACCCCTGCGTCAGCTCCGACTTCCTCACGCTGGAGAAAACCCGAGCTGCCACTGCTCATGGTGTTTATACAGCTGTAGAAAGCAAACCAAGACAGCATCTGGTTTAAACCTTTTCTAGAATGTAAGAGTGGCTGAGTCCTGAAATGAACAGGAAGGCAGTCAGGCATGGTGGCACTGGCACACTCTTTAATCCTAACACTCAGGATCGCTGTGAGCTGAAAGCCAGCCTGGTCTATATAATGAGTTCCAGGAAAGTCAGGGCTACAGAGAGACCCTGCCTAAAAAATAACAAAACAAAAATTTAAAAAATGAATGGGATGGTAAAACTGCAACAAAGAAAGGAAAACATGAATCGGAATCTAATGAAAGCTTTTACAGCTTCCCTGTTACCACATCACTGAGACAAAATTCACATGACAGGATCAACCACAAAACGGAGATGTCACGGGGAAGACAACCTGTGGGTGGACGATTAGGAACTATCCAAATGAACAGAACAAGTTAAGTTGGTTTTTTTTCCCTACCCAGTTTGACAAAAAACATGCAAGCGTGAAGAAACACCTACGGTGGGGCATTCCCACGTCCTGTTTAAGACACTAAGCAGACCGTGAAAGCAGCCACACAGGAATCCCTAGAACAGCAGCTGAAAGTCTATGAAATGCAGGGAATTAAAAACACAACCTGCACAGAACAGGACAGGTGTAATCACAGAACTTGGGAGGCAAAGGTAAAGAGGGTCAGAGTGCAAGGCCAACCTGGGCTACATGAGACGCTAAACCCAAACCATGAGAGAGAGAGAGAGAGTGCTGGTAAGAAGGCTCCGTGGTGAAGGTTCTTGCTGTCAAGTTGGACAACCTCAGTTTGATCCCTGGACTCACATGGTAGAAGGGTGGGAACCAGGAGTCTCAGTTCAGAATCAGCCTTGGCTACAAGGGAGACTAGGCGAAGGGTCAGTCAGTACAGGTGCCTGCCTTGCTAGCATGAGGACCTGAGTCTGGACCCAGCACCAATGGAAAGGGTAGGCATGGGAGTGTGTGCTTGGAATCCCAGCTCTAGGGAGACAGAGAAGGACAATCCCTGGGACTTGTCAGGCAGCCAGCCCAGGGAAATCAGTGAACTCCAGCTTTAGTGAGACTGTGTCACAACAATTCAGGTACAGAGCAACTGAAGAGGAACCTGACATTGGTCTCTGGCTTCCATGTGCACACATGTACAAACACAGATGTGTGTATATATGTATGTACACGTAACTACAAAACAAAAGGGTTCCAAATGCTGAGACAGCCCTTCAATCCTTCCTCCTGGGGAAAAAAAAATGAGGCAAGTTGGAGAACTACTGGAAGACAGTTGGTGGACAGCTGGAGGTACCTGAGGAGCAAGGAAGTGTGAGGACAGAGACAGAGGGGGTGACCCTAGTAACCAGGAATCCAGTAAGTTGCCCCAAAATCCTACTGTGAGCTTTCCTTTTTGCTTAAGTCAGTCTGGCTTGCTTTCTTTCTTTCTTTCTTTCTTTCTTTCTTTCTTTCTTTCTT